TTTTTTTTTTTTTTTTTTTTTTTTTTTTTTTTTTTTTTTTTTTTTTTTTTTTTTAGAATTGTAAAAGAAAAAAATTCAAAGTCAAAGAAAAATTACTGTGGGAAAATAAAATTAAAATTTGTTAAAAAATTAATTGCTTTGGGTAAAGGTGTGCAGAAGAGTAACACGGCACGGATGACAGATATACATATATAGTGAGGAGAGGGGAAGTGTGTGGAGAACAGTTGGTGAGGGGGACGGGGTAAGGGGAGAAACTTGAGAGGAAGAAATTTCTGATTCAAAAAAAAAAAATCTGTCGGTTTTAAAATTCCAGCCCCCCGAGTAACGCGACATAAAGAACTTCGTTCTAAAAACACTTATAAAAGTTAGAAATCCTTGAAGCTATTCATGTTATTCCAACTTTTCAAACTTATTATACTCCTTGAAGAATTTCAGATAGAGTAATTACTGTAAATTTGTTGATACAATACATGCGTAATGAGTCAGGTGCAATTGTTTATACGAAACTGTAGGTTTTTACTCGTTTTTTGCGTTTTCAGAAAACAATTATATTTAACTCACTAAACATGAATCATATCAACAAATTTCAAGTGATGTCTTTATCTGTAATTATTTACGGAGTATAATAAGCTTTGAAAAGTTGGAATGAAATGAATAGCTTGAAGGATTTCCAACTTTTATAAGTGTTTTCTCAAAATAAGATAATATACACGCAAACAATTTGGATTTAAAAAAAAAAATTTTTTTACAACACATCAAGTCCCCCTGTTTTATATTGTAGTTTTTCTTTATTATTACATTTAAATAAACGTTTATGATGATTATTGAAAACTTAGGCCTTACTTGGATATAAAGCCCCCTCAAGAGTAACTTTAAGAGAGATAATATTGTTTGTGAAGAAAATAATGTTCCTCAATATTATCTAATTGGTTAACTATCAGAACTAAGATTGGGAAAAATTATATCTATTAATAATTGTATTATTCAGTTGTGAATAAGAAAACCAATAACATATGGTACTTACACTTTTTATAGACGTACATTGTCGGACTTTCATCTCATCCACTCTGGCAAAGCGGTAAGATGCTTGCCTGATAAACTGGGAGCTCGAGTTCGTGTCTCATATTAGCCGAATTTTTTTTTTTTTTCCCTATAACTGTTATATTTTAGGTAACCATTCTATTAATTTATAAATTATAATCGTTGCACAAAATTTTTTTATTTATTTTTCTTTTATAAATCTCACCTGAGATCTCAGATGAGAATTTGGCATGAGATCTTACCTGAGATCTCAGGTGAGAAATCACATGAGATATCAGAAGTGATCTCGGGTGAGATTTCTCAGGAGGGAGGATTCCAGGTTAGAGTAACTGCATCCCAATCCTGAGTCGTGGGTTTGATTCCTGGTGAATGCAGATTTTTTCAAAAACTGTTTTCTTCAGGAAAAGTTCTTATGTAACCCCGGCTGTTTCAGGGCGGGTTTTTTCGTGGAATTTTCCTTTAGAGTAATTCTAGGATTTTTTCCTT